AAATGAAGCCCGGGATTTGAATTTCCCGTGCTTCATTTGCATAAGCGGGGCTCCCCCATTTTTAAATCCCCATTCGAACCCTGTGCAGCGCGGCTACACGGGGCACGAACTAGGTAGTTCGAACTAGGTTTCCTAGTTCGAACTACCGTTACTCCTCATGGTTCGAGCTGCATGGGGTTCGAACGAGCGGGGATTTAAAAATGGCGGCTCCCCGCTTATGCAAATGAAGCCCGGGAAATTCAAATCCCGGGCTTCATTTGCAAGTGCGGTATGCCTACATTACCCCGCTAGTTTGAACTAGCGGGGTAGTGTAGACATACCCATACTGAGGTCCTCAAATGATGATTTAAAGACCCCAAGATGCAGAGAATCCTCCCATAAGTCACCCATGCCCCATGCTACGGAGGAAGGCGAAAAAAACCTCCAGGGCCTCTGCCAATCTACCCTGGAGGAAAATTCCTTCCTGACCCCAAATATGACCTCACAGCCCTTTGCTTTGCCTTCCCTTAGGTATGGGGTGAATAATCAATACTCCTTCGCTGTCAGCCTGCCCTTACGTGTTTGCAGAAATGCATCTGGCCTGGGAAAGGCGCTGCCCGACAAAGAGCTGCAGGACATGAAGAACATCATGGGAAAACGGGAAGCCCTGTATGTCCAAGACAAAGGGCACATTGTAGCGTCCCGGCCGAAGTTTGGTAAAAAGGGGACTGAGACGCAGCACTCTGAGTGGCGCCTGCTCAATGGCGACCAGAACAACCCCAGACCTGTGCAGAAGCTCCTGGCCGAGACCTACAGGAATCACAGCTGCCTGATCTTCTTCACCCTCAACTCGCCCTGCCTGGGGATCTGCCTGAACGAGAGCAGTCCCTACTACATCCTGCCGATGGTGCGCACCACCTTCTCCCTCGCCAAGAAAGGCTACAGGGCCTTCGTCTTCCAGCAGATCTTCCATTCTGACGAGGGGAAGGGCCAGCAGCTGCTGAACAAATGGAAAACGCTGCAAAGGATCGCGCCCTTGATACGCTGCGACAATAACGGCTGCCAGAAATACAATGGGGACGGCACGTCCAACCAGCACAACCTCTGCCTGGAAGGGAGGCCAGTTGTGAGGCGGCGGCTGCACCCACCACGCAGGGGGGCAGTAGGGCAAGCAGGGGGCACCCTCAGGGCATAGGAAATGCGGGGGAGAGGGCACTGTTGGAGGATGCTGGGGAAGGGATGGGGGTGGAGGGCTATTGAGCACCACTGGGGCAATGGGCAAATGTCAGGGGTGGAGGTGGGGGGACGTTTCTTTTTGCAAGGCCTGTAATTTTGAGGAGTTTTCCTCCCATGTGATTAACACCAATAAAGTGTCAGAGCATCCTGGGGTCTCCTGTCTCTGTCCGTGTCTGGGCTTTTCACAGTGCGAGAGGCCCCCCAGTGTCCCTGGCAGTGCCCCCGTCATCCCCTTTTCCCTGGGGCTCTCCCAAGCCCCAGGCTCTTGGCAGCCTTTACTCGCTGGGGATCAACCCAGTGCATGCTGCCTGTCACAAGTCCACGCTCGTAGCTTAGGCAGATTCCACCCTTTTATTTAACTGTGCGTCCCCTGTTCTCCAGGTACCGTCTGTTTTGCAACCAAACGCGGGTAGATCGCTGCATGCGACGAATAACCGCCCTAGCTGGAGTCTCTAAGATTGCCGCCAACGGTGGAGAAGGGGGCCCACCCACTCTCCCGGGCCCTGTCCCAGGGCCACAATGCAGGGAGCTAAGCTCCCTACCATAGCAAACAGGGGTGTTGCCCTTAAACACGTCTGCTTGCAGGCATCGCGACCCCGCAGTGGGCCACTTCCTAACTCCACCGTCTGGGTCTTTACCCAGAGAGACAAGATGCTCCAATCGCGTCCCCATCACCAAGTCCCCCCGCATCTGTTCCTCCCTCCACCTCTCCCTCCCTTTCCACCCGAGTCGCCTCCCTTTAACCCGTGTCCTCGGGCCCGGAGAGTGATGTCATGCTCCCCTCCGTCCTTGCCCCCTCCCCTCTGGGAGTTTCCTGGTGCCCATCTGACATCATGCCCCTCGGGTGTGTGACATCATTCTCCTGAGCTGTGTCTGCGGCTTCCTGCGGGGCCCACGCTCCCCGCGTGGCCCCTACCCCTTCCACACTTGGGGCTTCTGCTTTGGGCAGGGGGCTCCTCCCTCAAGCAGCCACCATGGGAGAAGGTTTCTCAGTGGCGTAATCAAGTATTCACTGCTGAGCAGGGGTGTGTTGGTGCCCAGAATTCCTGGATTCTCCCCACCCCTCTTCCCCAGTTCTGGGTGTGGGCGGGGGGAAAAGTGGCTTATTGATTTGATAACCAAGACCCCAAACTAGGTCAGTGACTCTGAAAACAGGGTGAGCAGCAAGATGAGAGGGGATTTCCTCATTTGAGAGATCTGGGTCCTGGATATTTCTCCCCATTTTCCCCACCCATCATCTTTGTCCTCAAACTGAAATTTGGCAGCTTCAAATGGCAGCACAAAATTGTCTCCTTAAAAAGTTTTTAAAAACCCCCATGTGTGTACCTAAAAATGACTCTCTTGGAACACCTGGTCCGGGCAAATGGGGGCCATTTCTGTGAACAGATCTTTCACTTTCAGTTTCACTTTGAGCCTGGGGGGTGGAAGAGAGTTTTAGTTTCTGTCTGTAATCATGGAGGAAGCAGCCTAAACAAGGGGGCTGGGATTTAGGGGCCCAGTCTCTCCCATCTCAAGGGGGGTTGAGGCATCCTAGGCCTGCCCTGTAACCAGATCACATCTCGGCTACGTCTACACTGGCATGATTTTCCGAAAATGCTTTTAACGGAAAAGTTTTCTGTTAAAAGCATTTTCGGAAAAACGCAGGATGCTTTTCCGCAAAAGCACTTTTTGTGGAAAAACGTCTGTGGCCAATCTAGACGCGCTTTTCTGCAAAAAAAGCCCCGATCGCCATTTTTGCGATCGGGGCTTTTTTGCAGAAAACAGTACTATGCTGTCTACATGGGCCCTTTTGAGCAAAAGTCTTCCGGAAAAGCACTGACAATCTTACATGAGATCATCAGTGCTTTTCTGGAAATTCAAGCGGCCAGTGTAGACAGCTGGCAAGTTTTTCTGTAAAAGCGGCTGATTTTCCGGAAAAACTTGCCAGTCTAGACACAGCCCTATGCTCTGCTGTATCCTGGAGAAGCAATAAACTCCCTCTTTGTTCTACTGGCTGGTGGAGTCTGTTTGTGCCACTACGGGGGTGCAAGAGTTGGGGGAACCCCGACACACCACCGCACGCACTCTAGCACAGTAAATGCAGAAGTGGGGGCCTGCAAAAGCACCCCAAAACCTGATCTCTACAGGCTCTGGTACAAAAACGTCTCCCCAAATCCTACCACCTAGACTTTAGAGAATAAAAATCGCTGCCACCACCCAAGTATTCCAAAGAGATCACTTGGGAAACCTCCTCCCTAGAACCTCAGGGGTACCTCAAGCTCTTTTCTGCAGGAGAGAAAAGACGAGCTGCCGTCTGTGGTAGCTGCCCCCTAGTCAGAGGCAGGCAGATACCCACAGACAGATTTTCCAGGACACAGAAATGAACCAATACCCGGCTAATTAGAAAAAGAAAACAAACTTTTATTATCAAAACAAAACCTCAGTTGCAAGCAAAATAAAATGGCTAGATGAAAAAGAGCCACCAATTAATATACTCATTGGGAGACCCCCATGGGCTCAAATCTTAGTTACAAAAAAGAGGAAAACCCCACTTTTAACAGCACAGAGATCCTTTCCCCATTCCCAAACCATAAAACAACAAACCTGACGCATTATCTAGACTTTTCCCTACTTACACATACTGAGGTGACTCTTCTGTTACCTGGAAGAAACTGCTCTGACTCAGACAAAGGAGGGAAAAGTTAAAATTCCCTTGTCCCAGTTTAAAATCCCTACCTGCATTGTTATTGGCTGACCAGATACCTGGCTAGAGACAGGAGACATAGTTAACCCCTTAGTCCCCAAGTGCTGGCCAGCCCTCATGGTCAAAATACTGTCAAGCTGGAGGACTTACCAGGAGTAACTCTCATTATACGAGGAATAAGGGAAGTCGGAAGAAGAGCGCTCTTCGAAATAAGTGCTGTGTAGATGCTCCCAATTTCAAAACTAACCAAATAACCCGTCATAAAACGGGATTTTCAGGTCTCTCCCTGTTGGTCTTCTCTCCTGAGCCTCTGGTCTCTCTCTCCATCTCTCTCTCTCCTCCTCCTCCTACTGCCTCCCCCTCTCTCTCTCAGCTCTCCTCCGCCTCCTGCCCCTCTCTCTCTGTCTGTCTCTTTCTCTTCTCCTCCTCCCTCCTGCCTCTCACTTGGGGGACCGCGGAGCTCAAATGGCGGCCGGGGGGGGGGGGGGGGGGGGGGAGAGGGAGAAGCGGCAGCAAGTGGCCATTTGGGGAATGTGGACCCTAAACTACTGCCTGCCTCCCCCCCATGGTAGCCCAGCTGAGCGGCGCCACACACAGTGGAGTGCCACAGTGGGAGAGGAAGGTGGCTGATGTACACGGGCAGGGGGCGGGGCCATGTACGTCAGTGTTACAGACTCACAGACATTGGGCTACTCTATAGGTGATAAGCTATTTTGAAATAAGATACGCAATCGACATAGCTCAATTTGCGTAGCTTATTTTGAGTTAAGCACCGCGAGTAGACAGAGGATTAGTGAGCTACGGGATAGGGAGGAGATTTTAATAAGGGATTTAGAAAAAGCAATATTTTTATTTAAAAGAAAAAAAGATTTATTTTGAGAGTAAAGTATAGAAACCAGGAACAGACAGGAGCAAAGAGGGCTTTCAAAAGGCTATTTTGAAAACTAGAGACAAAAAGAGAATTGTAAAGAATTGGTGCTTGAGTTTGTGTGTGTGTGTCTGTGTGTCACTTCTCCTCTCCGTGTGTCTTAGTAGGTTTTATGCCCTGTATAGGGGTCTTCTAGTCTATTTTTTATATATATTGTGTTTTAAAATTTTGTAAGCCATCCTGAATATTTTAAATAGAGAGGCAGGGTAAAAATATTTTTGAATGAATGAATGAATGAATGAATGAATGAATGAATGAATGAATGAATGGGTTGTTTTGAATTAAACAATAAAGGAATCCAATAAAAAGGTAAACAAAGCTTCATAAAGAAGAGGAAAATGAGGGGAAGTGTTTTAAAGAATAGAGAGAAATAGGAAAAGGAACAAAAATGAGGATTTTGTTGTTTGATTGAGAGAAAGTTTAGTGATCACATGGCAGAGAGGAGAAAAGACATGGCTAGCTGGCTGAAAGACACATCCTTTCTTGTTAGTGAGCAAATTTCAGAGAGCAGAAAAGACAGGGAGCACATGGCATAGAGCGAGTGAGAGATCATGAACCAATCCTATCATACCAAGTTTTTAAAACAAGAATCACCTCTTCCCTCCTTTCTGCTTGTAGAAGTCAGAAAACCCCTTTTCTTCATTCTTTTGCTAACAGTGAAATAAAGATGTTCTACCTCTCTTGAAAAAAATAGAATAGAATCCCAGGGCTGGAAGAGACCTCAGAAGTCATCAAGTCCAGCCTCCTGCCCAAAGCAGGACCAACCCCAACTCAATCATCCCAGCCAGGGCTTTGTCAAGCTGGGACTTAAACATTTCTAGGGATGGAGATTCCATCCCCTCCGTAGGTAACCCATCCCCGTGCTTCCCCACCCTCCTAGGGAAATAGATTTTCCTAATATCCCCCACTGCAACTTGAAACCATTGCTTCTTGTTCTGCCATCTGTCACCACTGAGAACAGCCTCTCTCCATCCTCTTTGGAACCTCCCTTCAGGGAGTTGAAGGCTGCTATCAAATATGTTGACTATTACTGATTATTTTCCCCTGTTTTAAGAGCTTCATAATGGATACTTTGAGGACCTGCTCTATGATTTTTCCAGGCTCTGAAGTGAGGCTGACCCGTCTGTAGTTCCCTGGACTCTCCTTCTTCCATTTTTTAAAGATGGGCACTACGTTTGCCTTTTTCCTATCGTCCCTCCCCAGGTCACCGCGAGTTTTCAGAGATAATGGCCAAACGCTCTGCAGTCACATCAGCCAACTCCCCCTGCAACCTCAGATGCATTAGATTCCGCCCCATGGACTTGTGTAATTTACTAGCTTGCTTTTAGGAAAAAGTCTGTACTGAAATGATACAAAACGCACACAGGATAATTTAAGAGGAAATTTATCCAAACCATGAAAAGCCATTTACATAAAAGAGTGAATATATTTTACCAGGAATGAGAAATCTGCTTTTCCCCACCCTACACTTTGCTTTCCTATTTTTTTAAAATGTAAACCAAGGACAAAGAAACATTTAAAACATTCCTTAATGGGACGAGGCATGTAGAGGAGTGTACTGGGGTGAAATTACACTCAAAGACACTTATAAAAGTTATATCAAGCTTCCTTATTCCATTCTTTGGAAAGTGACTTTAGCAGAAAGCATTGTGAACACAGAGGGAAGATCTACATGGCAGGGTAAAGTCGAAATAAGCTACGCAACTTCAGCTCTGTCAATTGCGTAGCTGAAGTTGAAATAGCTTAACTCGGCTTTGGGCGCTGTCTCGCCAGCAGGAAGTCGAAGGAAGAGCACCCTTCTCCCACTTCCCTTACTCCTTGTGAAATGAGGATTACAAGAGCTGGAGGAAGCAGTCTTCCAGCTCGATATTATTTTGACATTATGTTGAAATAACTGCTTGTAATATAGACGCAGACTGTGTTATTCCAGAATTCCAGACGCAGACTATGTTATTCTGAAATAAGGGTGCTGTGTAGACATTCCCAGAATGTCCTATCCCAGGCATCTGAAATAGAAGATTTGTGTTCCTGCGTGATAGGAATAAAGCTACATTTCCAGGGTTTTTATATTAGAGCACATTAAGAAAGCAGTTCACACAAAGAAAGAAGCTACTTTTTCAATTTTCAAAGGAAAACCTTATGTTGTGACCATACAACAAGAACTACACAACCCCTTCTAGCTGCTTTGAAGATGTCCCATGGGTTGTCTTCTGGTGCTCAAGAGAGGCAGATTTTCCTTCTGGAATCTACAGCACACTCTGTAGCAGCTGCTGATCCACATCAACAGCATCACCCCCCCCTCCTCCGCCAGCCTCCTAGAGACAGTGAGATTCAGGTTTGGTTTTTACGTTGGTCCCCTACAAATGGTTTGCTCCTGGGTATCTGTGGGTCTGCTTCCCAGGCCAGGGGAAACTGAGGCAGGACTCCCCCATGGTGCCACAGTACGGACATTGGGACAAGGTGGGAGGAGTCCTGGAAGGGGTGGGCCAAGGACACATGGGGCAGGGCGAAGGGCAGTCAGCCCTCAGCACCACCAGGATTGCCCCCCCCCTCACAGCAGTTCAAAGGGGTCGGGAGTTCCAGGCCCCCCATGAATGGGTGGGCTCAAGAGCAATTTTCCCCCTCCCATCCCTCCTGTTGGGGGCCTGAGCGGGTCTCTCCCTCCCCGCACTGAGCTACCAACGGCCCCGGCCCAGCTTCCCCTCCTGGGGCCACCGCAGCTTGAGAAATAAAAAGCCTTTGT